TAATTGATCAAAAGCTAGCGAATTCCCATATTGTAATTATTTGGCCTAAAAGAGATATTCCTACAAGTTGGAAGTTTTATTATTAGACGTTATCACTTATTTGTTTATTATCTTATGCTTCAAGATTTATTATTGCCTAGAAAAAAAGTACAAGTATATTATATATGCTCTATTAAGATCTTAATAGGGCAGTATAGAGCACCAAATTTGAGAATAAAATTGAAATAACAACATATGGTTGATCTAGGAATTGATTCCTCTAACCTCATCTATTGAGAAAGGGAAAAAATTCTCGTTGTGACCTCCTTCAACATAAGCCATAACAATCATAGGCCAGACAGCTAAGTAAGATACTATACAAATTACAAACATATAGCTATATAAAGGGGTAAATGTGTTACACGGTTTTTGTAAAACTTCATTTTCTACATTAACATAGACGGAATCATTAATGACTCACTTTTTTTTTTTTTTTTTGATGCATATGAGGGTCAAGCTCGGAACAAACTAACTAAAGACTCACATGAGGGATAATTCAAGTGGTTAGAGCTCCCATCCGATTTCAAGAGACCCTGGGATCGATTCTCACCCCCGCTCTTTGTGGCTCTCTAAACAACAACAACATATAAAGAGTTTAATTAGCTAAACTACTTTTTTTTTTTCAAGAATTAGCTAAACTACTTAACATCTATATCTTACACATTAAATTACAATAAAGAGTTTTCTCATAAAGCTAAGAAACTTAGATACTCTCTCAGTTTTGTTTTTTTTTTTTTAAAAAAAAATCTTATAACTTTTTGTTTAATGTAATATTAGTATTCATACACTTGTGCTTTATTTTTCTACGGATCGGAGTAAGGGAAAATATATATATATATATATATATATATATATATATATATATATATATATATATATATATATATATATATTTTACTCTCCCTTATCATCATCACATTCATGCATTACTCTATAAGCAATCATGCAACTCCAATACCATTAACTTTATTAGCGATTTGTGGATGATCAACTAGCTTAGTTGGTTAAAGTGTTGAAGGGGGTGATACAGTATGAAATCAAATTATGTCTCCTCGTATATCATTTGCCCTTTCAGCTCTCTCTACAAATTTTTTTTTTTTTTAAAAAAAAAAAAAAAAAAAAAAAAAAAAAAAAACTAATATCGGTGATTTATATGGGTATTAGACAATTTTTTTTTATTTTTTTTTATTTTTTTAGATCTTCAATTCCATTGACTAAACCCACTTTTGGTTGGTCTCTTAATTATATATATAAAAAAAGAAAAAATCAGTCCAAGAGTTAGGCCGTCAATTGGAAGCAAACTGATTTAGACCACCAAAAATTGATTTTTGTGCATCCATTATTAACACAGTTTACAATGTTTTATAACATACTATTGGGCATGGATTATCACCCTAATTATTCTTTGCATTGATCATAGGTTATTCTTTAAGGTTATGTAAGCAAAATAACAAATGATTATGTATCAGAAATTCAGAGTAGTTATAGGACCAGAAGTAAAAGACAAATGTTTCCAAAAGAAAAAGAAAAAAAAAAATTAAAAAAAAAAAAAGAAGAAAATGACATATCAAAAATACCATTGACTTTTGCAAGAAATTGAACTCTCTATTATTGGACCCTGAATAAGCATTCTATTATTGGACTCTCTTTTTGGTTCCATAAGACTCCACTGGAAGACTTTGTGTGTATTACTCTCAAAATAAAGTTGAACTTAATAGCTGGATGATTGAGATGACACTAAGTTCCTTACTTCCTTTGTTTTGGCCACGAAAATTACATATTCCCTTTGTTTCAAAAAAAAAAAAAAAAAATCATATTCCCTATGTTTCTTTAATTTGGTTGGAATTATTCCTTCAATTTGTTGCAATTATTGCAATTATTGTGACAACATAAATTATAATAACAGTAGAGTAGAACGCATAACAAGTGAGACATGTATTGGTAAAAAAAAAAAAAAAAATAGAGAGAAAATTAATTTTGCTAGAAAATAAAAATGTACCATTGATCAATATAAATCGTAAACCTAGTACGTAATCTACGACAAATATTATCATGACTATAATATCTATCATTTACTTTTTGAAAAAAAAATAAATATTCCCTTTTCATTTTCTTTATAAATAATAGTCGTGTTTATAAAGCCATATTATAATAAAGTTTACGACATAAAGTTATTTTTTAAAAGACCTTTTATATCGGTATTTTTTCATTAGAAACTAACAAACCACAACTGTACTATTTTTTTTTTGGAAACGTGATAGCTTATTCCGAACATATATCCTATAGATAGACAGATGCTGAGATATGAGTGTGAAGGATCTATAGTTTGCTTCAATCATTGATTTCTTTAATTTCTAGTTGCCTTTTTTAGATTTCTTTGCACTAATAAAGTAATATTGTGCCTTTCACCTGGTTAAAATTACTAATTAAGGGAGTACAAAGTACAATATGTTTTCTTCAAAAAAAAATTTAAAATCAAACTGTCTTTGCCTCTTTGGATGGATAACAGAGGATGCATGCTAATGCTATACTTATCCAACAATCTTAGCTTGACACTACATATATAGGATTTTTGAGTAAAAAATCACGTAGGTCAATTCGTGTTAATTACTCTTGATCCTATTTACTAACTGGTTTATAGAATTGATATGATGTTTATCTCACTAATTGGCTACTTCCAATGTCATCCACATAAATTTTGAAGGTGTTTTTTTTTCATAGTCTTGGTATACATTCCTCTTGTCTTAACTTCTCAACAAAACTAAAGGCCCAGGTAAAAGTTCATGTTCACAATCTCTAATACGACTATAGGAGTACTAGTGTAACTTTATCATATCATATAGATAAGTGTGTTTGTTACTAAAATACTTTGTATCGCGCACTTAAAATGGACTTCATTTCACTTTAATGATACGGTCAATTTAAATTCATGGAATAACATGACTATAAAATTGTCACATGTGAACTGCATCGTAGATTCGTAGCATACATTGATGTAAAATTGAGTCAGGAGACCAAAAATTTCAGTAATAAGATTAAGTATATACTTCATTTATATGTAGCTGCAACGTTTCAACATATATACTCTTCACACACATCATGCTTTGATTATCTTTTTTATATTTAAATTAAACTGATTTGTTTCAGGAAATACTTGAGTTTAAATTTTATCATGTGAAGTCTTGTAAAATTCGTCTCAATATACATTTTCAAAATATCAATTTTTTTACAAATAATTTGAACTTATTAGTAGTTTAAGTTATCTATAGTATAAATCATGTATTGACAAGCGTGAAAATAACTATAAAAAAATAAATGAAAGAAGTATAAAAGTGTACCCGAGTCACTTATTCATTGATCAAAAGCAAAATTCCATTTTTTTTTATTAAGTTGGCCTAAAAGAGATACTCCGTCCTACAAGATAGTAGAAATAGAATCACAACTTGGCAGCTTTATTAGACATTATTAGTTTATTACCTTATGCTTCAAGATTAATTGCCAAGAAAATAGCTAGTACAAGTATATTATATATGCTCTATTAAGATCTTAGGGCATTATATATATTATTGGACGATGAATAAAGTCACTTAACACCAAATTTGTGAATGAAATTGAAATAACATAAGTATATATGATTGGTCTTGGAATAGATTCCTCTAAGGCCTGATCTTGTGAGAAAGGGAAGAAATTCTCGTTGTGACATCTTCCAACATAAGCCATAACAATCATAGGCCAGATATCTTGAGAAGAGTATAATTAAAGAGTAATTGTGTTACACGATTTTTTCCTTTTACTTTATTTCCTACATTAACAAGGAGGGAATCACAAAAGACCCACATATAGATTAGAATGGACTTTGGTCCTCGAGTATCATCCCTGATATATTAATCAACTAAACTACTTATCATATACTTGTATATCTTACACATTAAATTACAATAAGCCTTTTTTCATAAAACTAAGTTAAGATTTTTTTTTTTTTTTTACGGGAACTAATTTAAGAAACTTAATTAGATACTCCCTCGGTTCGTTTAGGTGTGATATTAGTATTCATGCGCGTGCTTTATTTTTCTACGGATCGCCGGATTGGAGTATGGAAAAAAAAAAAAAAAAGAAAAGAAATAAAGAAAGAAAGAAAATCTCTACTCTCCCATATTCATCAAATTGCAGTACTCTATAAGCGATCAAGCAATTTGGGTACTTGGCCAATACTAATAATACACATGAATAGTGAAACCGTTGACTCTATTAGACTTAAACAGATGCCCTGACAAAGAATTTCTATTATTGGACTCTCTATTTGGTTCCACAAGACTCTCCTGGAAAACTTTATGTGTTTAGTCAAAATAAAGTTGATGGAACTATTTGTTAAATGATTGAGAATTTGAGATGACACTAAGTTCCTTTGTTTTGGCCACGAAAATTACATATTCCCTTTATTTCTTCAATTTGGTTGCAATTATTGTGACATCGTAAACCAATAATAACAGTAGAACAGAGCGGGTAGCTAGTGAGACATGCATTGGTAAAAATAAAAAAGAAAAATAAATAAATATAAATAGGAGAAAATTGATGTTGCAAAAGACTTATATAGAGTGAAGTAGGAAATATGTTTGGGGTGAAATTGCGGATTCATTAGCATCTATGGGTGTAAGAAAATATAAGATATATGAGTAAAAGACAAATTGAAATTAGCAAGTGTTTCGAGTATTCATTTGTGGTTGGGAACCCTGTAAAGAGAGAAAATGTGAACCGCCCTCAGTGGTGGATTGAGGAACCCTTCAGATGGATTAAGCAGAGTCCTTTTTATAAATAGAATTTGGATTTAGAGAGATTGAATTTTAATTAAAAATCCAAGAAAAATCAGGTCAAAAAAACTATATGTTGATCACTTGATCTTGATCATAGGAATGCTAGTAGATCTTAAACTTGAAAAATAATTAGTACGTATTGTCACGACAACACATTTTTACACATTGCAACTCTTTATTACACATTTAATACAATATGATATACAATTTTAGTAAGAACCCAAGAGCCTTACATACAATAACTCTCTATAGATTGCTTACAGATCGATGATGAAAATCACGCCCTCCTGAAAGAAGTACGCCGAGCAGGCCTCGAAACGCAGGCGAACCTAGGAAGAGACTTACCAATCTTCTTAACCCAGTAATTCAGAGTTTTAACAAGTTTTATGTAAAGAGGAATATAAGATAACATAAAGATACATATAGGAAAAAAGGCAACAATATAAAGTGCAGTTTTAGTCCATCGTTCTTTTGTATTTACCATCAGAAGAATTGTTGCTGCGAATGCTACCATCATCATTGTCACAGATAGAAACAGTAGAGTAAAACCCAGCAGCAATTTCTGCGGGAGTGATCGTCGAAAGTCTTTTAACTGATAAGACGACGTCAGTATAGCCAGAAATACGATGACTGCTGTCAAGGCGAAACCAAGGGAGAGTACATCAGTTACGGTGAAGACTAAGAAGAATGGCAGTCCAATGAGTAGAGGGTAGCCTGTAGTTTGATTTGGACCGCCGGGTATTGCGTAAGCAGCAGCAAAGGCAACTGTCGCGATTAGAATGATAACCACGGTGTTGTGTTCTGCTGTACGCTTTAGCCAGTCCTTGGCCTCGATACGAAGTTTTTCATTGTTTAATGCGAATAATTCATCTGCGGTCATCATTTGATCGTTGCGGTGATTCACTAGGTAGCTTGGACAAGTATTTTCTAAGTACTGCATGTAATGTCACAGTAAAACAATAATAGTGAGACACGTAACAAGTCAGTTCAGTTAACTTATCAGTTTCAGCTTCTTTTCATAGTTAACTTCAATTACTTTAGTCAATAACGTTTATAGGACTAGTCGTTGCACTTGTATTAAATTGTTTAGGACATTAAATTGTTGCAACGACTAGTAGTCCTACAAACGTTATTGATTGAAATAATTGAAGTATCTTAGTATGATAAAAAAAAAAAAAAAATGAAGTATATATGAAAGGGTAGCTGATGTTGCATATGTACCTCTAGCAAGAGCAAGTCATCGGACAATTGTAGCACTGGACTTTTCATCTTCGTACCCGGAAGAACATCGCGGGGACATCCAACCATATGTAAGATGGAGTTGTTTTTGTTATCAACAGCTCCTAGTAAGCCTCTATGAGGTGAAACTTGTTGTTCAACTAGCTTAAAAATTGACATGTTTCGACTTTTAACAGCTACATGTAACACATTTTCTTGATTATGATTTATATAGTTCACTGCCTGTGGATACATGTCTAGTATCTCTTCGACGATCTCAATACAGCCTTTCCTAGCTGCCAAAAGCAATGGAGCTTCATCACTGTCCGAAACACCGCCTCTATAAATTGTTTCCCCTCTCTCTATGTCAAAGTACTGGTCATGTTGTTGGTCGTCTTCTCTAGACTCATCATCAATGATAGGAATAACACCCATGATAACGGGAGTAACCTCAGCTCGTGGCTCGTGCGTGTCCTTCCAAGATGTGTCGTGTTGAATTAAAATCTTGGCAAGATCTAGCGCATCCTTGTGCCCTCTTTTCACCTCTTTGATTTCTTCTATCATAGGTAATATCCAGCATGATTTACCTACATATATAGTCAAATAGTACAAGTTAGTATTAACAAGTAACAAATGACTCGATCAATATAACAAACTACTACCTTTGTTAATTTTTAGTTGCAACAAAAGAATTTTTTATGTCTCACAAATAATTAATAATACCCTTTTGTTACAACTAAAAATTAACAAATGTAGTAAATACTTTGTATTGTATTATCGATCATATCTTACTAACCGATGCTTAATGTGTATCCAAAGGCTTTTAGAATTATGTTCGCTTCTTCAATTGTGCTTTGTTCATCAATTGAGACACCTAAAAAAAAGGAAAAATTTTAAGTTTTAAAAAGCTATTAATGCTCCAAAAATCTCAAGTTGTAATATAAATCCAAATGTATAGGAAAAAGAGCTCAAAATACATACTAGAGTAAAGAAGTTCCTTTATGAGCCCAAATTCTGTTCCACTTTTGAATGCTGCTGGAGTACAAGCAAGAATTTGAAGAGCAGTCATATTTTGAGCTCGTATACCACAAAGATAGGGATATTTTCTTGCTATCATAAGCGCCATATCTGTTTGTTATATTAATAATTAGTCATATGACATCTACAATGCTAACATAGATATGTAAACCACGTATTTAGATATATTATTTATTGATAAAGCCAAAAAAAAAAAAAATATTTAACTCACCAAAGTTTCTTGTGAGGATAGCCATGTGAAGAATGGTAGTGCCGTCGTCTCTCTGGAAGAAGTATAGATGTGTAAATTCTTTGTTCAATTCACAGAACTTATCTACCTCCTCAGCAAGGTACTCAAAGATTTTCCTCCTTCCATAGCGAGTAGCTCGGAAGATACAAGACTCACCCCATTTGTTACGCGCTTGTATCAACTCAGGAACTTTGTGCAACATCTTCCTTACCAATTCAAGTCCTTGGTTAGATGTGGACGCGTCATGGAGTATGGTGTCTCCCCAAGCATTCGTTCGTTCAACAAGTACGTTGAGAGAATTCTTAGGCAAACCATCAAAAAGCTCATTAGCTAACTCAAACTTTTTGGAGTAACATGCTAAATGTAGCACCGTGGAATTGTTTATGGTGCAATAATGTAACGAATGATCAGGTGTCTTCTTGCAAAGCTCAATGACCTCATCTTTGTTGTGATTGTTGCAGAGGGCGCGGTATAATTTTGTTTGTAGCTCATCAACCGCCATGATCATAGACCGCGAAAATTCAAAAGAATGAAGGAAAAACGCAAACAAGCAAGAGTTGAGGCAATAAGAAGAAAAAAATGTTACAGTACCTTATTATATATGCTAAAATGAATCTACCTATTTAAAATGTATACCTTAGAAAGATGAACCCAATACTTTTCTTAAATTATGTCATTGTCCTTTGTTAAGAAAAGCATTTGAAAGGTACATTGGGCACAAAAACGCATACTTATGCTAGATGTAAATTAAAGATGCTACAATTGTCCAACAATCTTGGAATTATACTCAATTAAATTGTCTTGATTGGGAAAGTATATATGCCAAGTACAAATTATAAGCAACACGAAGTGCTCCGATCCATGCAAATCACCTTACGGAGTGGTTCTTGTTAAGATATATGTAAATATCTTTGTAGTTTGTTTAGTAAATATTCGTGTATAGTCTTTCCTATTTTATAGCCTTGGGTTATGCCTTGTATATTGTCATATATAATTGTTCAGCAGTCAATCGAAATCCCTTGAGGAAAATATAAGCTAAGTGTAAAATTAAAGCGATATGTTATTGTGTTTAGTTAATTAACTTAGGTCAACATGAGTTCACTAGTTGTGCCATTATGGCGCTCATACATCAAGGAGAACAAAGCCTTCCTTTGCCTTTTGTGTAGGACTTATATCCTGCAACAAAGTAAATATAGCACATGTACAAATTACAAAGTACATTAATGATAACCGGGTTTGGGTCGCACCTGCTACAAGTGTCCACTTTATACAACCAAGGAGATTCCACCTCAAAACCATATGGCAATGAGGGGAGTAGTCCCTTAGTCTTATAAAGTGGACACAACTTTCTTATTTCTTCAATGTGGGATACACTTCCCAACAATTTTATACTCTTTTAATGTGGGACAACACTTTCATTCACATGTGGGTTTGGTCATGGGCTCAACAATTAACGAGATTTCAAAAAAAAAACATAAAAATAAAATAAAAATAAAGAGTACATTAAAGATGCATCATACTATGTTTGGAAAATGATAAATTCATTCCTTAGAATTGCATAAAACATCAATTACACCGTTGAACAAATTTGAAAATTTAAATACTTTTTGTGATCTCATACTATTTTTTACCAACAAATTAATTATATCACAAAAGAAGATATTTTTTTTTATAACCCTAATAATTTCCTAAGACAAACGAATAACTACGTCAACGACTAACAACTCCGTCGTAGGGAGACTAATAAATCTACACTACTCGTGTAAATTGATTGAAATTAACAACGAAAATGTAAAACAAGACAAAGAGAATGGGTTGGAAATTAGACTATTTCGTTCCGGTGTGATGGCCAAAAAACATTAAACACTAGAGGAGAAGAAAAGAGAGAAAGAACGACTAGGGTTTAGTAAAATATTTTAGGGAAATTATCAATGATACACTCCAGGTTTTGACTTTTATCAATGATACACCCCATTAAACTTTCATTATCACCGGTACACCTAAACTTTTCCCTAATTAACTACAGTAACCTTAACGTTAACTAAACGTTAATTATGTTTGATCGTCACCATTCACACCAACGAAACCAACAAAACTCACCTCCCCTGCTAATCCCCTGTTCCACCATTCACACTCATATACCTCCCCTGCTCCTCTCAATTACCCACGCAGCACCACTTCACGCCCCCACAGCGCCACCACCATTTCAACCACCATCCACCAAACACAACCAACAGCTCGCCACCTCACCGTATCACCAGCTCCAACTCCCACACATTCCCACACTCAGACCACCTCCAATCACCACCGCAACAACTACAACAGCAGCAGCCACGCATCCCCTGCATCAACCTCAATTAATTACAGCACCGTCACTGCCTAGAACAGCACCTCTAGCTTCGCAATTCCTTACTGCAACCGCTACCACCATCTCCAACCACCCCCAACCAGCAACCCAACCCAAAACCAATACCGGATTAGACTCTACATATATATTTCGGATTTGAGCTAGCTAGGTTCGCTTTCAAATGAGGAGAAAGTTCGCTCAACCAATTTTTTCTATTTCATGGGTCAGTTTGTGATTTATGGTTAAGTTGAAACAAATTGCTTACCAACTAGTTCAAAATGTGGTGATGATTAATCAATATGATTAAAATTCATATTAGTTAAAGTAATATGATCAAAACGGATAATGTAAATTGTGCCAAAAGTCGGTATGGTAGAAGTAACAATATAGAAGATGATGATGTTTTTTTTTTTTTTTTTTTTTTGAAGAAATAAATTTCAGTTCTTTTCTTGTCTATTGTTGTTTCAGGTGGGGGAAGGAAGGAGAAGGTTGTCAAGGGGGTGGTTTCGCGTCGGGGTTAGTTTTTAGCAGCGGGGGTAAGGGGAAAGGAAAGGGGTCATCCGATGGTGGGTCTTGGTCGCTACGGGTGGGCGGTTCTAGGCGGTGGGTTAGATGGGGGAGAGGGTTACCGGCAGGGGAGGGGGATGGGGTGGCTGGCTGGTGGTGGGGTGGTTTTTGTTTTTTTATGTTGTTGGTTGGGCATGGAGGGAGTGTTAATGAGGGTGGGGGGCATTTTAGTCAAGCCAAGTCAGACCAAAAATGTTGTCAACTATACATAATAAACGTTTAACTGTAGTTAATTAGGGAAAAGTTTAGGTGTACCGGTGATAATGAAAATTTAATGAGGTGTATCATTGATAAAAGTCGAAACCTGGAGTATATCATTGATAATTTCCCAATATTTTATCATATGCTTATATCATTTACATATGAATGTACGATCAATATAATATATGAACTTAAGAAGTAATGAGATCTAAATTAGTGCTGGTTAATTTGTCAAAATCAAAAGAAACGTGCATCAAAGTTGACATGGTATATTGGGCTTTGTGGGTTGGGCTGCTTATGATGTGAAGAATATGTCACAAATTCTGGCCTTGCATGTTTTATAAAAACCCTAAAAAACATAAATCCTTTTTGTTGAGAGTGGGATTTGAACCCACGCCCTTTCGGACCAGAACCTTAATCTGGCGCCTTAGACCAACTCGGCCATCTCAACGTTGTGCTATGTGTTTGAGAAAAAAAATATTATAAATTATTCATATAATTGAGTAAAAATTTAGTTCTACTTCCAGAATATTATGTTTTATATTTTTAATTTTTAACGACTAAAAATCTTTAATCGACCAATTAAGACCTTGTTCTCTTCACCTTATTCTTGCTAAATTGAATTTTTTTTTACTAAAATGTCTTTATTGTAACTGGTTAAAATTTATTTTTATTAAAATGAGAATATATTTACTGAATACGAAGTATTTTTTTTAAGGTAAAGAGAATAGAGCCTAAAAAGATTGCTTTAAACATAGTTTAATGTAATTTAGTAGTCTTACTTCTAACCTATAATACGAAGTAATGTTTTTTATAGGAAAATTTGTGGACAAATAGTTGCATTTTATACTCTTTTTTTTTGGTAGGTAATTAAGATAAAGGGTACCAATATGTCAAAACTCTGGACACTTTGTGAGAGTGGAGAGAAAAGAAAGGGAATTTCCTCTCTCAAACTGTCTCACTTTAGTGGAGGTTGAACCTTTAATCGCATAGGTAGATGATAATCTCCTTCCACTAAGCTAAGCTTAGCTTAATATAATAGTTGCACATATCGAATATATGATTTCTCTCTTCATTGTTGAAAAAAATAAAATAAAAGGTTCATTTATGTTGTATGTGTGTAGTGGTGGTCGGATCTGGATTTTGAAATTTGATATCTTAAGTGTTTTAGTATTCAATACACTTTGACGAACACATGATACACTAATTATAGGTTAGTAGTATATACCATCTATAGTTTTGATATCAACTTTATTGTTAATTTATGTCGATATCAACATTAATGTTAGTTAATTTATTTTAATAGGAGTATAAGTTAATAAACTATAAAAATAATTCTATCAACTTTAGATCTTTTCCAATGTTGCATTTACATTTTCCAATTATTAACCTTACATCACTAGCATTAAGAAAACATAGCATTGTGTATCATGCCCAAATCTAGTTTGATTTATTTGAATGAGTTTTGTATAAATTCAATCAAAGTAAATGAAGCATAACTGAGTTAGTGCATCGTGTATAAACAAAGTTGGAAGTGTTTTCAATATTCAATTCATATCAAAGCACTCGTTGCCAATGAAATCTTGTTTTGGTAAGTTGGTTTGATGATATTATGTTGATGTTGTCATGCATAAATTGTTTTGCTTCGTGTTTAGCTCTATGAAACGACTTCGCTTTAGGAAAAACATGTTCGTTGTTTAGACACTTTAAATCTAAAATTCTATATTGATCCGAAATTGACTCGATCGACACAACATACTTGAATTAAACTCGAAAACCCAAAAGTGAAATGTACCCTTTTAATTTCAACCTAATTGTATTGACCCAACTCATACCAGACCCACATAAACCATTTCTTATTAAAAGTCTGCCGAGTAGATACTCATTTGCTACAACCAAAGTGGGAGCAACTAGCATGCAAGTACCTAATGACCTATAGGCCAATGAGCATGATTATAATTTATCTCAAAATTCACCCTTTAAACCATATAATAATAATAATAATTATAATAATAATAATAATTATTATTATTATAAAAAATCATATGCCCATTAGATTATCATGCACCCCACCCCTCTCTCACATGAGCTTTACTCCCCAATAAAAATATCCCTCAAATTTAATAAACACTCACACCCAGAAACAAAAATTAAAAAAAAAAAAAAATCTACAAAAAAAAATAGAAGAAAGAACATAAAAAAAGGTAACAAATTAAAACCTAAACCTAATAAAGGAAACAAGAACACCCAAAATTTATTTAATTTTAAAAAGGAAAGAAATAAAAATTCCATAGCAATGAAGCAGCTGCAAAACCTCCAACAACAACAAACCTCATCTTCTTCATCGATGTCGTCATCATCGGAAGCTGTTTCTCTCTCCTCTCTTCCTCCGACCACCGCCGATCCTCCGTCGGCGATGTCGTCGTCGGAAGATTTATCGGCGCCGTCAACCGCCACCGGCGGCCAAGAATCGATCGTCGTTGAACGTCGTGGTGATTTCTCCGCTATTTGTCGTTGGACCGTCGCTAATTTCCCTAAAATCAAAGCT